GATTCTGCGCCTGCTTCAGCTTTTCCCTGATCATCTGGACCTGCAGGGTGGTATCTTGGATAAAGTCCAAGCCAAACAACTCACGATCCCCAACCTCAGACCAGCAGGAAGGTGTACGACACATCTTACCGTAGAGCGCCTCGTAGGGTGCCATGCTCAGGCTAGCATGGAAACTGTTGTTATACGAAAACTCCACCAACGGAAAGTACCTATCCTATGACGAGCCCTGCTCCAACGTGCAAGCCCGCAACATGTCCTCCAAGGTCTGGATAGTCCGCTCAGTCTGTCCATCAGCCTGAGGGTGATAGGCTGTACTCAATCTCAACTAAGTACCAAAAGTTCCCAGCAGCGCCTCCCAGAATCGAGATGTGAACTTCGGGTCCCTATCACTGATGATACTCTCGGGCACCCCGTGAAGCCTCACGATCTCGCGAACATACAGTTGGCCAACCGCTCAGTAGTGAAGCTCACCTTCACTGGAAGAAAATGGGCAGACTTCGTCAGTCTATCCACAATAACTCATATCGAGTCACAACCAACATGAGTCTTCGGCAAACCCACAACGAAGTCCATGGAAATGCTCTCCCATTTCCATTCCGGAATCTCAAGAGGTTGAAGTTTACCAGACGACTTCTGGTGTTCAATCTTCACCTTCTGGCAGATCAAACACTTGGACACATACACAGCTATGTCCTTCTTCATTCCTGGCCACCAGAAATTCCTTTTTAGGTCTTGGTACATCTTTGTAGCACCAGGGTGAACAGTAAACTGTCCCTTATGGGCCTCCGCCATAACCTCTTCGGCCAAAGGACCTCGAGGAATCACAACACGCTTCTGAAACAACAGAAGTCCATCCTCATTCCAAGACACACCGTCTTGGTTCTTCACGTAGTCGAGACACTCTCTCTGCACTTGCACCTCTTGGATCTTCTCCATAAGCTCATTCCTGACTCTCACAATCTCCATCTCGAGAAGTGAACCCCCAAAGAAGGTGGTCACCTTCAGATCTCGAAACTTTTCTATGAGGTCGAAGTCACCCATCGTCAAACTGGATAGACTCACGGATTTTCGACTCAAAGCATCAGCTACCACATTGGCCTTGCCAGGATGATACTTCAACTCAAAGTCGTAGTCCTTCATAAATTCCATCTATCTCCTCTGCCTCATGTTCAGCTCCTTCTGATCAAACAGATACTTCAAGCTCTTGTGGTCACTGAACACCGAAAACTGCATACAGAACAGGTAATGCCTCCAGATCTTGAAAGCAAACACAATCGCAGCCAACTCCAAATCATGAGTCGGGTAGTTCTCCTCACGAGGCTTCAACTGCCTCGAAGCAAAAGCAACAGCTCTACCAGACTGCATCAACACACAGCCCAGCCCCTTTCCAGAAGCATCACAGTAAAGCTCAAATTGCTCCTCAAGATCAGGAATGACCAACACAGATGAAGTAGTCAATCTCTCCTTCAACTCCTGAAAGCACGCCTTACACTCGTGAGTCCACACAAATGGAGTCTCCTTTCGGGTAAGGCGAGTCAAAGGGAGAACCATCATGGAGAAACCCTTGATGAACCTTCGATAGTAACCTGCCAAACCTAAGAAGCTCCTCACCTCCGTGACTGTCTTGGGCCTCTCCCAATCCAGCACGGCCTCAATCTTGTTGGGATCCACTGCAACTCCATCCGCTGAAATCATATGCCCAAGGAACTTCACTGATTTGAGCCAAATCTCACACTTAGAAGGCTTAGCATAAAGCTTTTTCTCCTTCAGCACTTGCAGAACAATCCTTAGATGCTTCGCATGCTCCTCCTCAGTCTTGGAGTAAATCAGAATGAAATCAATAAAGACGATCACAAACTGATCCAGATACGGCTGGAAAATCCTGTTCATGTAATCCATGAACATTGTTGGCACATTGGTGAGTCCAAACAGGATCACCAAATACTCAAAGTGACCGTATCTCAAACGAAACGCGGTCTTAGGGACATCCTCCGGCTTCACCCGAATCTTATGGTATCCGGACCGAAGATCAATCTTTGAATACACGCAAGAACCCCTGAGCTGATCCAACAGATCATCAATCCGAGGAAGGGGATACTTGTTCTTGATCGTCACCTTGTTCAACTGCCTGTTGTCGGTGCACAATCGCATTGTCCCGTCCTTCTTCTTCACAAAGATGACTGGTGCTCCCTAAGGAGACACACTCGGTCGGATGAAATCTTTCGCTGAAAGATCCTCAATATGCTTCTTCAGCTCAGCCAACTCCGGTGGCGACATCCGATATGGAGCTAAAGAAATCGGCCCCACACCAGGCAATAAATCAATGGAGAACTCTATCTCCCGCTGTGGCGGAAACTCAGGAATCTCCTCAGGAAACACCTCGAGGAACTCCCCACCACAGGAATGCCAGTGATATCCTCATGTGTCCCACTCACCAAACCTCCCAACATGACATACCTGAATGCCCCTGCTCTCAAGGCCTTCCTAGCCTGCAGCAATGAAATATATGGCGAGGAACTAGCTGTGGAATCACACGGAGACATCACCACGCGCATTGCACAACAATCAATCAGTGTACAATTTCTAGACAACCAATCCATACCCAGAATAATCTCCAAGTTGGCCATCGGCAATCCTATCAGATCCGCCGAGAATTCACAGCCATCCCACTGAAACGCTACATCGCGACTTACAGTGGTAGAATCACATATTTCTTCGGTGGCGGTAGTCACCCGCAACGGTGGAGAAAGCACAGACATGGGCAACTCAAGCCCCAAAGCAATCGGGGTAGCAACAAACGAATGCGTAGCCCTGGAGTCAAACAATGCATCAACAGCAATACCACCAATAGACACAGTACCTCTAACAAGGTTCGGAGCGCGGTCCGACTACTGCCTATCCAAGGTGTACACACGCCCAACAGAAGGTGGCACCGCAGGTGCCGAAGTAGATGCCATCGGAACCATCTGCAAGGGAACTGCCTGAACAGCTGCAGCTCTCGCCGCACCCTGCACAACGACCCGAAGCACAACGACCAGCATGCTCCTTTCCGCACCCCGCACATCTCGGAGTGGAAGGAGGCCTAGCAAAACTCCCATGCTGAGAAGCAGTCCTCTTGAACTGACCAGGCGCCTGCCTGGTCGCCAAGTGTTTACCTTTTCCCTTCCCAGCAAACTTCCTGTCATTCCAAGAAGTAGAAACAGGAGTGGAACTAACAGTCCCCTTGGTCTCGTCGACCTTGGCCCTCTTTGCCTTGCTCGCAATGCAGACATCCTCAATGTCCTTACACTGCTGAACCAGTGTACCAAAATCCCTCGAAGCAGCTCTAGCAATATGCTCAGCAATCACCTCACTAAGTCCTCTGCAGAACTTAGCCGCCAGAAACATCAGAGTAGAAGGAACCATCCGGAAGTGCGAAAACTTCACAAGCTCATTAAACTTGTCCAGGTACACGTCAACATTATAATTTTCGGAGCACCTTTCTGGTACGCGCTTTTCATAGCCAGTACCAGTTTTCGGCACCAGTTCTCATTATTTTGACTTGAAACTCGTTTTACAAGTCCTACATATTAATCTAGTAATTATCATGCACTTATAATAATTTACCGGGATACCTTTTCGGTATGCATTTATACCGACTAGCAGAACCAGTATCTGCATTTTTCTTCCGAAAAGCGACTTTCAGCATTCTTAATCACTTACTATAATTATTAGAGCCTCTAGGGTCAATTATGGAATTATTTCCTAATTTCACATAATTAATTAATTAACTTCCTTAATTAACAGTGCGGGTTCTTACAGTTACGGTCCCCATCTGCAATCCATTTGCATCTGGCTTTCTGAAACCATAACGCTTCCTCTTGTTCCATAACCCTATTAAGCTCACATTGAAGGGCTGAATCTAACTCAGATTGAGCATAATCCAGATGAGTGGCATAGCAGTTTTGGTTATCCTAAATCTTCTTGAGGAGATAGTCTTTCCTCACTTGAATACACTCAAACACCCTCTTATTCCACGATTTGAGGGGAGGAACCAGATTACTCAAGATGTTCCTAATGTTTAGATTCGGCTTCCACACAAACTTAAGGAAGTGCGGAAAGGAAACATGATCTTGCCAGATAACCAGAAACCTGAAAGGTTTTTCTTTCCAGTCTTGCTCTTTTGGAAGGAGGAAGATCAGGAAGGGATTATGATCCGAGTTCAACCGAGGCAGACTTCTAACTGAAGCTTCCTCAAAAGTTGTTCTCCAATTTGCATTAGCACACACACGGTCCAGCCTTTTAAAAACTCTATCAAGATGGAGCCACTTGGGCCCCCTCCAGGTGAAATGAGACCTTTTACAACACATATCAATCATACTACAATCATTAAGAAATGAGGAAAACTTCTGGCACCTGAGAAGATTAACTGGAGCTCCCCATTTCATCTCATTGAAAGAGGAAATCTCATTAAAATCCCCCATCATAGTCCAGGGACCCACTAGACTGCTGCTAATTCGTTTTAAATCCATCCATAGCTCCTCTCGAACTTCCTCTCTAGGATTAGCATAAACCACTGTAAGGTAGAAAGCTAATCCCTGATTAGTAGAGCAGGAAACATGAATGAATTGACTCGATTTCTCAATGAGAGTTACATTGCAGTATTCCTCTTTCCATAGAATCCAGATACCACCCGAGAAACCCACTGCATCTTCTATCACAGAATTGTTGAATCCCAGTTGCTTAATCTTCTTTTGGGCAATAGCACCACTTATTCTAGGTTCCAAAATGGAAACCAAACCAATCTTGTATTTTTTTAATGAAATTTCTTAGGGATGTCTTGAAAGACTTTTTTGCAGCACCCCTACAATTCCATACAAGACAGTTCATTGGATAACTAACTTTGTACCAGGATCACCGAGTCCTTGGTCACACTCTACCATATTCTCAACAGCTAATTTACTAGAGATTTTCTCCAAAGGCATTCCATCTTCCATTTCTCTGTCTTGGCTCTCCAATTTCTAAAGACTTTGAGCACCGTTAAACATATTAGTATCCATATCCAAAGGTTTATCATCCACCTCACAGAAGACACAAATTGGCAAAGTGCTATCTATGCTTATGATGCTAGCAGCAGATATTTTTGTGCATAAATCACCTTCTGGATCTTCAGGATCAATATCCTTACCGATACTTATAACCGGTTCAGGAGGGGAGATGGGGACATATCTGAATTCACCTTTACTGGTAGACTTGCTGGATGAAGGGAGCTCTAAAGGCTTAGAACTTGTTTTATTTGGATTGGCTTCAGATGAGAAGACAAAGGCTTTTTTCTTCTATGACTTTTTTGGTTTATAAGTGGCTTTAGCTGCAGTATTACTCAGACCTGCTGAACCTGTTGAGGCTTTCGAATTAGTGGCCTTGGAAGTAACCTGGGATAGAGGGTTCCTCTTGTTTTCTTTGAGTATCCCTTTTTTAACCGCTGTGGCTTGTTCCAACCCTGGATTCTTCAAAATAGAAATGCCAGCAACCTGAGGTGAAAGGGGCTTCTTACTGTTAGAGATATCCACTCCAAAGGATCTTTCTCCTTTGACTTCATTCTTTCTTGGAGATTGGTTCCTAAAAAATTTCTTTTTTTGGACTACCATCCATGGACCTACCCCTTGGTTCGCTTGTGTATTAGCCGAGTCAGGATGACTGGTTTCCTTGTTAATATTAGCCTCGTCTGTTTTAACAAAGTCAGGGCATTTATCTGTATTATGGCCATATTTTCCGCATCTGATACAAATAAGGTACAGGCCCTCATATTCAACTTTAAACACTTCATCCTCCAGAATATATTCACCCCTGAGTGGTTTAGTAAGATCTAAATCCACACACAGTCTAGCAAACTTTCCCCTATCCCCCATGGAGGTTGTTCGATCAACCTTCAGCACTTTGCCTATTGTATTTCCTATCAGTTTCAAAAAAGGAGCTACACAGAATTCTTGAGGAATACCTGGCAATCGAATCCACGCAGCTACCCTGTGAATATTAGCTTTATGAGGATTAAAGAACGACTCCCACTTCCTGATGGCCAAGTAGTGGCCCATCAGAATCCAAGGTCCTCCTGTTAACGCTAGATTTAGATCTTCCAAGCTAGAGAATTTCACAGAGAAAAAGTCATTCCCCAAATCTGCCACCACAATGGATCCGGATTTAGCCCATAGGTTTCCCAGTTTTGTTTTCATGTACATCACACCCACTCTCTTCCCCAGGAGCTTAACGATGATAGCATTTCTCCATAGGCTTCATAATCTCTGTTTCGCTTCCTTAGTGCACCTTATTCTTACAGACCCATCATGAAAGTATATGGTTTGAAAGCCAAACTCATCTATGGTGCCAAGACTCGGGTCTAGCGGCTCACTCTTGTCCTCCTCAAGGTCATCTTGCCAAGAATCCTACTCACCCATACAGTTGTTATCAGCTCGCAAAGCATCAGCGAATGACTTCGACTTACCAGACGGGATTCGCTCCTGAATGTTCCCCAGACTTGCCCCTCTGTTCGAGGAATCAGGGGCAAATTTCTCTCCAATCTTCGAACGTTTTATGCTTTTGCGCATAGAACCCGGTGTTTCCGTTGCAATTTGCTATGAATCGCCATTACTTTCAAGAAAAACTCATCATTTTGCCCTAGCAGAAGAAGAAATATCACGCGCGTGAGACTCACGCAAAACTAACCCATGAAAACAAATATATTCTATCTCTAATGATACAAGGGAAAAAGTTCTTGTCTCTTGCTATCTATATGTATCATGTTATAGATTGATGATAACTTACGGTATAGATCCTTTGATTGTGTAATGAGAGGAAATGGTGCTACTTTTTATAGTGGCATGATCCTTTAATAATAATAAAATCAGCATAAGATTGTTAAAGAAGCTTGATAAGAAGGAAATTGTATCCGGATGCATTAGTGTTTTTGTAACAACACAAATTTTGTTGTTTCGTTATTTTTTATGATTTTGTGGAGCGTGCTACTAGATCGGAATTGTTAATAGGAGTTTCATGATATTTTTATTTTTTATTCTTTTACCTAGTAATAGAAATATAATAAAAATAAAAAATTATAGATTGACCTAGATAAAAGAGTTATAAATTAGAATTTTACCCCCATAGTTATTCATAACTTCACATTCTATTCATTTTTGTATAGAATTATAAATGATACCTAAAATCACATTAACTGTATTTAAAGGAGCTTTTTACTTAATCATAAGAAGATTGATTTATTTAAGTATTTGGAAAAAAAATTAAAAACTGTAATTTAAATAAAAAATACGAAACTACAACGATTTGCAAAGTATTTATGAAAGTATTACAATCAGTTACGCACGGAATTGGACACAACTGGTTGTGCATCAAAACAGGCGCATTAGGGCACTATTTGTTTCTATGTGCAACTAGTTGCTCATAGAAACAAGAGCAACTAGCCCCCTAATACGCCTTTTTTCGTGTGTGTCTTCTCCATGTGTCGCCTATTCTAATATGTGCCTTCCGCCATCTTCATTCATTTTAGGATAACGATGTCTACTTTCTGACAAGTTCAATAAGTTTGATATAATCTCATTTCCATTGTCCATTGAAATAATGAGTCGTCATTATTTGTTATTGTTAATAGTGAGAAATAGGAATAGGAATTAAACAACATCATTCATAGAAATAAAATGTGCCTAACTGGCACAAGGAAGCATTTTTTAAAAAAACTTGACCAAATCCCCTTTGAAATTTGTCATCGTGTAGTCCTTACAAAGTTAAGTAGAATCAAAAAATATATTATGCCCTTCCAAAGTTTTAGGATATTACCTGTGACATGCGCATTGATTTGGGCATAATACTTGGGAAGAAGTGCACCAAAATAGACGCAACAGGCACTGAGTTTCCGCTTATTTTTATGCATAGCGAGTCACACAGTGTGCATCGAAACAAGCGCAAATCAGTGTATGTTGTGTAACACCCTGTAGTACTCCTGTTGTTAACCTCATGATATTACAGCGTACACAGCAGAAGATTTGATTAAATAATTAAAGAAAAGTCTTGTGAAAATATGAATAAACTTTTTCCAAAATATTTCTCAAAACATTCACTTGCTATATCGCGAAAGCGTAAATCTAACACATATAATTACTAATTAATTCCATTAGCCAGTATTAGTGGCCATTGACTAACCGGATATGACAACAAGTGTCATTCCTGCCAGAGTCTCACGGACAGCACAACGGTTGTTTAACGGATAACTGGGAGATAAGAATCTCACACAATCACACCTGATAAACACAGTTAAATAACAGACAGCTTGCAAGTCCCACACGGACTGCAATCCCCTCAATGGGTCAGTACATACATAATGGCTCTATGCCCAAATTAATAAATTCATACATCATGTCTTTGTGTACTCATCACATGCATCTAATATAACTCATAATACATACATCAATAATCTGAAAGCTCAAACAGTAATTAATCCTGAGCATTATTACATACAGGTACAACAACATAGTCTCAAAATAAGCTGACTAGGCATGTCAAAACACTACACATGCCACATAATAACATAACAGGCATAAAAATAAGCAGCAGCCACAATCCACTAATTCGTAGTTGGGCCCTTGCCCTTAGAATGCACACTGCTAACCTGGGTACCTGAAATGATGTCCCCAAACGGGGTGAGATAACACATCTCAGTAAGCTCAAGGTTCATAGAGGATCCTCTAATCCCCTGAGCTCACTTCCTGCATGAAAAGTCAGATATAAAGCATATAATACAGGCATACAACATAAATATAGCATCATCATATCATCCTTGTGTAACCCCAGGGTCAAAGTCATAGACAGTTACACATGTGTGACTCCAGGGTCAAGCCATAGACAGTCAACACAACCTCAGTATGAAATAGCTCCCAGAGTCAAGTCATAGGCAGCCTACATACCATGATCACTGGCAAGGATTCACATAACATATATCATCAGTACATCATCATAACATCAAGAATCATATGACATCTATATGAATGTGAATGAATGCACATATACATTATACCGTATACTTTCATACAATACAACCATAATGTCCACTATCATGGTGGGGCCACAAGAGAGAGAAGCAATCAAAACCAGGAGCTTACCTCAAGGAGCTTAGCACAAGCCAACACTCCAATATTATACGTATGCTCCAATACAATCCTCAAGTGAAAGGTTCTCTAGGCACACCTAAAGTAGGAACCATTCACATCATTAATTACATACTAATTAATCAAGTCATATAAAATACTTAACCATTTAATGGTTCCACTTTCCATACTTATATGCCAATAATATGTCCATTACAAGTCTAGACCATTTATTACTTAATTACACATTTTTAGTGCATAAGGAATTGTTCACTAAGTCCACAATAACTCATTAGACACTTAGTCCATTAATAAATTGTCTTAGATTAAGGCATTTTTCTCTTAACTTACAACTAATCAAGACATTTATCATTAATATATGTCATTCATAACCTTGAACATTAATTATTATAAGTTACTAAGGGTTTCCATAAACCCACTTAGCTTAAATCTCACTTTTACGGTTTTCCTATAATTGTACACGCTTCTGTTTTCTAGTCTCTGTGCACAACCAACTTGTTATAAAAATCTCATCTTTTAGTATGTCAATCTAGACTCGATTAAATTTCCAACAAGGTATCACATGCCTCATTTGGAGTTCTCTAGCTCCGGTTATCACCATTTGAAGTTGGACAAGCAAAACTGTCTGCCAACTCCAAACAGAGCCCCAAACATCCCTCACCATTTCTGCGATTTTGGAAAGTCTACTAAACCAATTGCTCTAAAAATTTTATACAGAAAACTAGACACATTCAGATTTAATTTGATATATTATGAGCCTAATTTTAGTAATAACTGAGAGAGAAATAATTCGTGGAAGATGCAGCCATGTACAGCCCCTGCACATTGCCTCCCTAGCAGTCTCCACGCAATCGGACCTACAGAATGCTACACAACTTCAAATGGTACCAAATTTTGACACCACATAGCCGACATCTCAAGATTCAAAATGATGTATGGCACATCCCTATAGAACCCCTGTGGAAGGATATATGATCTCCCAAAATTAGCCTAAAAACTGGTCATTTAACCCCAAGTGTGTTTAATTACCAAATCCTAATTATCTTTGGTTAGAAACTCTAAGTCACTTTAATTTTAGGATTTTTCTATTATTAGGTCACTTATGCATTCCCACATAGTCACAGTAGGTCTTAATTCATTAGGTTCACTAATTACATAATTAGTGCTTCTAAACCCTCATTAGGTCCATTTTAGGGGTTTTATAGTTAATTAATACATTATGCATGGTCCACTTCACTTAAACCCTATATTAGTATCCTAATTAGGTCTTAAACCAATATTTAACATACTAACCCTAATTGATCCTTAGGTGGCCAAATTGTTTAGGTTATACAAACTAGGTTTTTAACTTGTTAACTTTACCATTTCTTTAGTTAATTAAGTCCTACACTTAATTAGTCCACTAATCCATCATTTAATTAAATTTTAAACATACAATCCTAATTATACTATTTAGGACAGATTTGATATACTAGATTCATTAGGGTTTAAATCCATTCCTTAATCAAGATTAGCGTTTTTAAGCTTAAAGGTTGCATTTTTAACCTTTCCCCTTGGTCCTACTCATGATTGTCCACACTTAACAACCTCAAGAACCAATTTTTATCAATTAAACACATCAACCCCCTTAAAAACTCATGATGGCTGAATTGTTTAGATGGTGGTGATGGGATTTTTGTCACCATATTTTCAAAGTTTCATGCTTACATCTTCAAATGAGCACCAATGCTTCAAGCTCTCATCTTTCTCAAGCAAGCATGCTTTCTTTCCACAAATAACATACCTTTAAGAAAAATCAAGGTTAGAAATCAAGAACACAACACAAAGGTGGGATTTTTCAAGAAGAAAACTTATACTGGAACTTAGGAAAGTAGGCACCAAAGTGAGGTTCTTCAAGGAGAACTCAAAGCACCAACATCATGGCTTGAAAAAGCCAAGAAAATGCTGTTGTATGCAAGGGTATGCACCACGAAATTTTGGCTATCAAGAACAAAAATGGTATGTCCTTGAAGAGGAGGATGAGGGGAACAAGTTTTGTGAAGAGTGTTTGGTGATTTGAT